ATGTCAATACAACAAATGCCTTATCCACCGCACATCGAAATAGACAGGATTGATACAATGTTACGTATACAAATTGTTACATTCGCAGTTATGGCTTTTATAATTCCACTTTGCATCGAAGTCAACTATTCAACGAAAGAGAAGTTTATAGGTGTAAATGTTAGTACAGTATTCTTCCTTTGTATTTTACGTGTGTATTTAATTTCTAAAAGATATTTATTTGCTTCATTATTTTCAGGTTTTAATGGCAATGAACGGAGTCAAAGTAGTGTATAACTTATTTAGCTGTTTAATTACAGGAATATTGTTTAGCACAATTTACATAGTACCAATAGTTATAATATTTAAGAATACCTTTTCTCATAATGTCGATGCCTATTTGAAATATGGAAATGGGTTTATATTTTGGCTCTTAATCACTACACATGTTACTCATCTTATAACATTTGGCATGCATGTTGCAGCATATTTCTCAAAACGTAAATATCTTTTTGTAAAAAATAAATAATTAAATAAATAATAAATAATTTGTTTAAATGCAAATTTAAGTTATGTGCTCAATATATCTTTATAGCACAATTCGTGTCAAGTGTTTTAACCATTGTTTATACGGCGAAAGTTTTATTTTATGACAAAACAACAAACATGATAAAACAAAAAGCTTTCGGCGTTATACCATATTTTGGTATAATATTTCCAAATATTATGCTTTCTAGACTTTTTGAAGAAACAGATGCTTATGAAAGTAGATGTAAGTAATGAGTTCCAACTTATGTTAATTATATAAATAATTAACAAAAATCTTTAAAGCATTGTGTGAATATATTGTCTTTTTTTCCTTTAGCGATTGGCATTCAATGGAGCAATTTTTTTATTTCTGGGCAATCAAAAAAATATGGTACTGTAGGAAGTCCAGGTTTTATATTTCTCTTTTCAATCTTGGGTACTGCGATACATTTTACACTTGCAGTATATATAAATGCTATTCTTCCTGGAAAATATGGAGTCCGAAAAGATCCATTATATTTTTTGAAGGCAAGTATTATAAATAGCATTCAATAAAAATGCTATTTGTGTTGTGAGATGTAATGTTTTTATATATTATATTTTAGTGTCTGAGGAAGAATAAAGTAGCTCTTGATGAAGAAGCTATCGAATTTGATTACCATAAGGCTAACGAAGACTTTGAACCGGTATTAGGTGGTGCACTTACACCTGGAATACAAATACGTGATCTTAAAAAGTCTTATACAACGTGCTGGTTTCGAAAATCTGTAAGTTTATATAAAAAAATGTACATTACATAATATAATAAGGTAGATGAGAGACCAAGGAAATGAACAAAAAGTGAGATGTATTCAAATTGATAAAAATTAAGCTTATTATAAATTAAGACACGTTTCGAACTCATAGAATTTTCTTCAGTTAATTATAGCAATAGCAATCATAAAATTTACAAAAAATTGGTTCAATAATATAGATATAATGTAAATTTATCTTAATGCAAAGATTAAACTTAAGGAACGGGTCATGAAGCAATCAATATATTATGCATAGAAAATGTTCCAATTGAGTATTGTAAAAATCGAACAATCCAAATTGATAGAGATGGAGAATTTCAAAGATGTAGTCCAAAGATGTGATAAATAGATGGAGTATAACTATTTCTTCGGTCTCAAGCGAGAAAATGTTAAAT